AACCGAGCACGGCTGTCGTGTATGCGACGCGTCGCTGGATGGCATCGAGCCAGATCCTCTGCATTGGTAGACCTCGTCTGCTATTGAGAGCACTGACGATGGGCACTGCCACTCCCACTGCAATTGGGGCAATGCAAGAAACACCACTTTGACGAGCTAGCAATGCTGCGACACCCACGATTTCGAACGGGGCAGCAAAAATCTCTCCGACCCGTTGCAAGCTCATGCCAATGCGCAACACGTCGGTGCTTACTAGAGTGAGCATATTACCATCTGAGAGCTGGGTGTTGGAAAGGGCCAAGCTCTGCGAATGCAATGCGGAGATGGAAACCCCGCGCAGCGTAGTGAGAAATCGGTCGGCCTGCCTTCTGTACGTCACCGTCAAGAGGGCCATGACCAGGTAGATTAGCATCGTTGCGGCAATCAAGCCTTTTCCGGTATCATGATCTCGCGAGTCATCTCCGAGCCATTTCGTTATTCTGTCAATCAGAAGAGGCTGGGTGAGCTTCACAGCGCTGAGACAGAGACGGGGTAGTATTGTCGCAAGCAGGCTCCACTTAGTTGTCGAGATCATTGCTCGCAACAAGGGACGCTTTCTGGTGTGGTATCGACCTGTTCGTTTTGTCAGAAGCAGGCTAAAAAGATTTGAAGTTATGACTTACGGAAGCGTGACCAATGCTGCATGAATCGCTCTTCCACTGATTCAGACCGCAGACTCTCGTCGATAGTGTACAGGTCCTCGAACCTGACGTTCTTTCGATACGCGAGGAGAAAGAGCGGGCCAAGCCACCACAGTATCGTTCGGTCGAAGATGTTTGCGAGTGCCTCCGGCGCGTAGGCTTGATACGGCGGAAGTAGCCATGATCTCTTGGATCGTGCTTCGAGAAAGAGTATGACAATCTTGATGGCCAGGCAAGCAGTAAATGTGGCCGCGACGGCGGTGTCTGAGCGATGACGCAGCCATAAGGTACGAGCTTGTGGAATGTCCAAGACAATCGAGATGAGGATGAAGACGCTGATAATGTCGCTGGGCCTCGCTGATCGCATGTGCTCAACGGAAGACAGCCAAAGCAGGCCCAAGCAAGCGAGGAAAGACAAGCTTGCCGCTGCCACAGCGATGCGACTAGTATCCTTTGCAAGCGCCCAGGAAACCAAGAGAGCGCACTGGCTCAGAGCCAGGAACGATATGATGGCTTGCTTGCCATGGCGCGCCCATGATCTTGCACACTTCGCTTCTTGTCGTCGCAATTGAGAGGCTCGGATTGGGAGAGCGAGGAGTAGTAGAGCGCATGGCGCAATTTGGAAGAAGCTCTGTTCGAAGACTAGTGTGAAGTCGAAGTCGCCGCAATACTGAGGACCGAAGCTATCGTCAGCGACGAGAGAGCAATTCATGATAAAGTCCGCGTGTTTGGCAATGACTACGCAAAGACGAAAGCTGAGGAACCACACGCGATAGTCTCTGGATCAAAACAGCACGTAGAATTAACGCTTTAAACAGATTAGAGGCAATGGTAAAGCAACGCCGCAACAGCTGCGCGCTATCGCATAAGCGAAATCCTACACTAGCTAGAAACGACATACAAAGATAAGAGAAGAGTGAGATGCATTGACTGTCAAGTCCCAGGCTGCCACTTCATGGCGGACTTACTACCAACGGAGATAAATACCAGCTCATCACTAGACATCGTGGCTCAATGGCGATTCGTCTCTAGTTTTCCAGAACAATTTATCTGGCGATCTGGTTTCAACATGCATCCGCTGTCGTCTCATACCGTACTGCTTGACATTGATCTTTGCAGGTGTCTCTACTAGTAGTAGTTCCGACAGTTTTACGGGAACGAGTAGTATACTAATCTCTTGCAATGACTTAATTCTGTCTCGTTCTACGCGTGTACGGTAATTGCTCTAAAAGCCAATGTTGTATCTTGGGCGCATCAGCCCAGTGGTATTGGTGATACGGGCAGGCATGACGACCTGGGTGTCACAGAACGGCGGCCTAATCCCAATCGCGTGGTGCGGGGTAGACTTTGCAGGCAACCGCCGTCGGAAACAGTCTGTTCTCTTATGTAAAGAACGAAACATCTGAGTTAATCACTGAACGACAGAACTAGGAATATCAGATTATTTCATTCACTTGGCCATATCATATAACGCGCCGAGTCAACTTCGGGACGATCGCGAACTTGTCTCTTTTGTCAGCGACCGCGTCCTACTGAGTGCTGTTTCCGATAGCCACTGTCCCCGCAACAGTAGCTGGTCTCATAGAGTCGCATCCTTTTGGCATTGATTGGCCTTAGCTAGATGTCAATTCGCTCTATTTGCAACACGCGCTACACACATAAAGGTAGGCACAAACAGATATTCTGTTTTTGATTCACTAGCGCCTACTAATGTTACAATGTCTGTTCTCTACTGAATGTTAATGCCAGATGCTGCGGTTTCTTCGTCTCGTCTCACCAAGCTGGCAATCTACAGCTTCTCAAAAGCTAACTACCTTCATGTAGATCAAGCAACATGAAATCGGTACCGCGTTCTTCGTCATCTCCGCCGACCAATGACCAATCCATCTGCGCTGATTGCCAGGAGATTCTTATACAGCCGGATGAGGCTGCGGCTGATACTTGTCGAGTCACGCGCGAGGGGCGTACTATCGTTTTGTCGGCAGAACGCGGCTGTCCTTTATGCAAAGCATTCGTGTGGCGTCTGCATCAGAGACGGAGCGCGGTAGACTCATATTGGGAACTATCCATCGGCTTCAACAAGACGGACGACAGACCTTGGCGCGTTGTTATAAGAAAGACCGGAGAGAACTTATCATGGCCAAGGGCCTACGAGTTGACGCTTCTACCGACAACGTACTACAGCAGTCCGGCGCAATATTTAAACGAAATAAGTTTTCAAGTTGATCAAATTGATCAAATTGGTCCCTCTCCTACCCAACTTGCTTTGCCTGTTCTACCCAGTAGCACCGGCGACCGACGGTGCATGGCCCAGGCTTCCGCGTGGTTCAAAGAGTGTTCGGAAAACCACAAGCGCTGCAATCAGCGTTTCGATATCCAGACGGTAGAAACGCTACCATCACGCTTGCTCGCGGTTAGTCCGCTAAAAGTGAAGATCGTTACCACGGCACACAGATCGAACTCAAATGTCCCAGTGTATATGACGGTTAGCCACAAGTGGCGGAGTCAAATGCCGAAGCTGCTGCGATGTAATGTCAAGAAGTTAGAGCGGGGTGTAAGCGTATCCGAGCTGCCGCAGCTATTCCAGGACGCCTTTGATTTGGCTAGGGCGTTACAAATACCTTATGTCTGGATTGATGCTCTTTGCATCATACAAGATGACGAGACTGATAAGGCATCCGAAATATCCAGAATGGATCACATTTATCAGAATGCCGTCCTCAACATTGGCGCGACTGGAGCCGCCAATGCTGCACGGCCACCAGCAGACCGCGACTTGGTGTCTGACAGTATGGTCAAGGGCAAGGGCGAAAGCGAGATGCGCGATCATAGCAATATCGCCCGCAGCACCGATGTTCCAAATAAGTCTCTTTTAAGAGATGAAGGCAGAACAAATGCGGAGAGGTGTGACTTACCGGGCTTCGTTACTGAACATGTACAACCACACGGACTGCGCCAAGGCTTATTCGCAGACCGAGACCCCCTACTTTATTCTCCACTTGCTGTTACAGTCAAGACAAGAGGGAAAGAGTACAATTGTATCGTTTATGATAGCTCTCACGTGGAGGACTTCCAAGACAGTGCTCTCTTCAAGCGTGGATGGGTGTTACAGGAACGACTCCTTAGTCCTAGATCGCTTTTCTTTGGCCAACAGATGGTCTGGGAATGTTCCGAACTAGTCGCATGCGAAACGTTTCCATTCGGATTTCCACTGAGTCTTATGGAACACAATGTTCGCTTGGGAAAGATCTTTGTCGAGTGCAGCGAGGGTTCTAGGCAATCTGCGCAATACACAGCTTGGCGAGAAATTGTCAAAGCATTTACTAGGTGTCAGCTCACGTACGATTTGGATTGTTTCCCTGCCCTATCAGGTCTTGCACACAATTTCCAGGCTTCCCTTCAGGATGAGTACTATGCTGGGCTATAGAAGGACGACTTTATACCAGGCTTATGCTGGTTCCGCGCCGACCAAGAGTCTGGCAGATCGCGATATCCCCCGTTCCCTAGCGACTATCGAGGTAAGTTTACTGTCCCTAATCCTGCTTCTGCGCCACCTCTGATATAATCAGCACCATCGTGGTCCTGGGCCTCCGTAAAATTTCCCATTGGTTTCATCGATAACAACGAGCTTTTGGGCGATGAAAACGCTGAGTATACAGCTATTGGACGGCTTGAAGAGATTGCCGTTACACCGTCTGGCTCTGACCCTTTTGGCTGCATCTCATCCGCTCGTCTCCGGATCTCCGGCCATCTCCGCAAAGCAATCCGACAGGCATCAAAACGCAACATTAGACCCTACTCATACACCGATCAAAGTGCACAGTACGAGTGGTTTGACACCGGCCATGAAGGGCAGAATTTCGATATTCGAGACATGAGCACTGCTTACTTCCTTCTGCTTGCGCATCGAGAATGGGCGTGGATGCTAGACATTAGCAACAGGTCTGTCCAGATTGAAAAGCTCACAGGCATCATTGTCGAACCCGTTGACGATGACAGAACAACGTGGCGCAGGATTGGGCTGTTCGATCATCCTCGTGGTGACGGGTGGATAGGGCATGACTACAGTCCAGGCTATCCCGAATTTGACGACTGGGATCCAGAAAACTATGAGAGGCATACAATCACGATCGTCTAGACAGGTTGCATTTACGTATCAATCGAAAGAAGAGTATCATGAATGTGAACACTTTTGCCATTTCACAATGCAAACATGCTAAACTACATCGATATTAACCCGCCTTTTCCCCAAACGCCCATACCATGCTCAAGAAACACATGCACTCATAGTAACGTACAAGTAAAAGAGATCCGCAGCGCCTAATCGCTACTCCGCCTATGCTTCTTACTCTTCTTCTCCTTCTTCTTCGGCGACTCTTGCACGACCTCTTCCACCTCCTCAACAGCATCCACATCCTGCATCTCCACGTCATCCATCTGAACATCGCCATCGACGTCCTCATCCTCCTCCTCTTCTTCCTCATCCTCAGACTCAGAGTCTGAATCGCGCTTCTCACGGATACCGTTGGAGATAGCTTCGTTGACCTCCTCCGCGACGTTCTTGAGCGGATCCCTAATCTTGACCGGTGCAAGCACGTCAAACGCACCCGTACCGATACCACCCAGTCTACCAACGACAATGCGTGCGCTGGGGTTCTTGAGCTCGTCCCAGTCGCGCTCCATGACAGCGTCCTTGAGGAAACCGACGGTGGTTTCGAAACTCATCTTCATGAAGGGACTGACGTTACCCTTCATGCCGATGCGGTTGAAGGGTGTGAAGCCACCGCCCTTGGTCATGGTGTCGGCGATGAGGTTGAGATGGCGTTGGTCGACGGAGATACCGTGACCGGAGAAGACGCCGTGCATTTCTTTGACGATGGTCGCGCGGGCGGCTTCGACACCGTAGAGGTGCAGCATGGCTACGATATCGTTGGTCATGGTGCGGTTCACATCGATGATGTGGGCGTACTCGCGCATGGCGAGGAGGTTGGAACCTTCGGTGTTGATAACACCATCTGCATCTGAGTATTGAGCGGCTGTGATACCGGGGATGACGTGGATGGTGGCGAAGTTGGCAGCGTCTTCTACGTGGTGCAGCATGAGCAGCTTGGGAGTCGATGTCTCGAACTCAAACGTGATCTCGCAGAAAGCTCCCTTGCGGTCGTCGAAGGTGAAGTCGTGGATGTGATCGTTGTTGTGGCAGACGCGGTCGTGGCGGATGTCCGAGGATTCGTCAGTGGGTACGAGTGTACCCTCGTCCTCGTCGTCAGAGTTGAGTTCCGGGGTAGCTGCGCGCGAGGGCTTGGGGCTGCCACCGTAGGTCTCATCCTCGTCGTTGACCTCGTCTTCTCGATCAAGGTTGTCGTTGGCTGCTTGCTCCTCTTCTTCTGGCTCTTCGTAAGCTACGCTGTCTTCACGTCGGCCTCGGTCCTTGGCGTGAGTAGTGTCGTTGTCGCCCTCGCCATCGTCACTATCATCGTCCTCTGCACCGCCTTCCCGTCCCGCGCGGAAGGTCTCCTCTGACTCGTCGACTGTTTGCTCTCCGCTTCTGCCAGTCTTCTCGCCGATAGTAGGGATGGCAGCCGACTTCGCCGTTGACAAGGATTTGTTCGCAGCCTTCTTCTTGAGGTCGGCCTTGACGATCTTCTGGAGACGCGGGCAGAACTTCTGCTCGATGGACTCGGCAACGTCGCGAACCTTGATAGCGTACTCCTTGGTGTACTCCTTCGCCGGGTAGAAGTCCAGGCGAATCTTGTAGCTCCTGGCCTGACTATGTTCACGACCGGGACCAGTGGTCTCAGTCACAGTGACCTTGTCGAGCACAGCCGAGAGTGGCAGACGACTGATACTCTTGGCGAATTTGTCGTTGTCTGATTTGGAAAGCTCGGGATGGGGATATAGTTGCATCGACGGGGTGGAGATGTTCGCACTAGCAGTCATGACGATTTCTCGTAGACGGGGAATACCGAGTGTGACGTTCTTCGCGGAGTGACCAGCCAAATGGAAAGTGTTCAGCGTCATCTGTGTTGAGGGTTCACCAATAGATTGGCCAGCAACGACACCGACAGCCTCGCCAGGCTCGACCAGGGACCGCAGGTACTTGAGGTCAAGCATTTGCTCAAAGGTACGCTTGAGAATCTCGCCCTCTTCGTCCTTCTTCTTGTTCTTGAGAAGCTTGTCGGGGTTTTGGTCACAGTACTAAGATCGTTAGCATCTTATAGTTGATCGGGATGAAGTGACTTACCTCTCGCTTAGCCTGTAAGAACAGTTCCGAAGTACTGCCACTATGCCTTGATGGCGTGTAAACGGCAGTGACAGGGTCCATTGCGGCAACATCACCCTTTCTAGCCTTCTTCGCTGCCTTCTTGTTGTGTTCAACCGCTTCAGCACTAGAAACCTTCGGGTAGGCTTCAGCAGTGTGGAGCGATTGGGCTAGCGAGTAGAAGTTCTCCGCCTGGAACTTGAAGTCGTTGAGGTACTTCTGCTTGGTTGTGTCGAGACCATCTTCACCGTACAGGAACTGGACCATGGTACCATCTGAGTCGCGGACAGAGGTGTCGTATTCGACCTTGAGACCTTCCATACCCTTGATGATACATCTTTGCAGATAACCGGAGCGCGAAGTCTTGACAGCAGTGTCGATAAGACCTTCTCTACCAGCCATCATGTGGAAGTAGTACTCTTGCGGCCGGATACCAGTCAAGAAACGGTTGACGATATAACCACCAGCGCGTACGCTCGTCTCGAAGGGCTTGAAGCACGGCAGTGTCTTTCCAGAAATCATGACTGGAACTCTTCGGCCCTCCAGAACTTGTTGGCCAAGATTACATGAAATCTGGTTAGCGTTGACCATACTACCCTTAGCTCCAGAGCCTGTCATGGCTTGCATTTGGTTCTTGGGGAATGGTTTGATGAGCTTATCGGGCAGACAGGCTGAGGTGACCGCCGAGGAAATCTTGCCGTTAGCAGTGTTGGTGAGTAGATCCAGACCGTGCTGCTTGGTGTCGTCTCGTAGCACGGATTCAAGTCGTCGCCGTAGTTCTGGGTTCATAGGGTCAATCTTCTCCGCGTCCATGGTGACGTACTTGGAGGCGACCTCGAACCCAACCTTCTCCGCTTTACGGAGCTCTTCCAGCCTAGCACGATCTCCCTCCTCTGTGAGAATTAGATCCTGAACACCGCAAGAGAAGGCGCGCATGTGAAGCATCTTGGTAAGCAGCCGTCCGATGATACTGAGGGCTCGACCAGCAATCGTCTCTCCATAAGCCTCGTAGATGCCATTGATGAGACCACCCGCGGCAGGTCCGATTTGACCCTTGTCCATGATACCGGAAAGCAGTTGGCCATCTTTGACAATGACGAACTGCTCCTCGACGTGAACACCCCAGAGTTTGCCGTTTGTTGACGATTTGGATGTGAGCGTCAGTTCCTGGTATTCTGCGGGCTTGATGTTCTTCAAGACAGTAGTGATGATTTGCTTTCCCGTCCACATCGGCCTAGGCTTCATGATAGCAGGGTTAACTGTCTCAAGTCTACCTGAGGTGGTATGGCCGTCTTCCGGTCGCAGGCAAGAGTAGAGTAGTTGATGGTACTCTTCTCTTGTGAAGAATGTGTCCTTGTTCGAAAGCCAGACTCCCATGGAGATATGATCTTGAATCAAACCACGCAGAGGCTTTCCAGCAGTCGCAGATAGGTATTGATGATCGGTATCCGCTACCGTCATAGCCTCCGCTCTGGCAAGCTCGTTTTGGGGGAAATGCATGTTCATCTCGTCACCGTCAAAATCGGCATTGTACGTGTTACAGTTGGCGTAGTGCATGCGAATGGTCTTCTCTCCCGGTAATACACGGGCGCGATGTGCCATCATTGACGGCTTGTGCAGTGTCGGCTGTCGGTTCATGATAACAACATCGCCGTTGTTCAGATGACGATGCACCTTCTTATTCCGAGCTCCATTGGAGTATGAATTTGTGGGTGCAAGCAGTTGGTTGGCCAAAGCTAGTCGCTCTTCGTAGTTCTTCTTCTTCAGTGACACAACTTGTCCAAACTCGTTTTCGATGGCATGCGCTCCTGGCCACTTGTCGGGACCGTTCAGGACAGCTTCCTTAAGATCGTAAAAGTTGTGGTTCGTGACAGGCTCTGGGTATGTAAGTTTCATGGCGAACACTGGAGGGACACCGATCTCGTTGGTCTCGATGTTCGGGTCAGGCGAAATAACACTGCGCGCGGCGAAGTTGACACGCTTGCCCATCATGTTCTTTCGGAAGAGACCCTCCTTCTTTTCCAGACCCTGCTTGATACCATCGGCGTTTGTGACTGCAGCGCGGCCTTGCACGGGGTTTGCATCGCGATCGATGAGGGCGTTCACGGCACCCTGGAGGTTGACAAATTGGGTCTGCATGTCGTCGAAGTTACGTTTCCGGTATCCGAGCTCGTTCTCCATGCCTCGCATCTCCTGGCTAATCTGACGGATCGTGTCACATGCTTCGAGAATGCTCTTGTAGAGCTTGTTCCTGGCGGATTCGGCAATAGAGTCGCCCGTCTTATCTTCGGGTCTGTATTTGTTGGGTGGTACGACGATGGCCTGTGTGAAGAACATGTCGGGGTTTACGTCCACGAGAGACTTGGTTCCGTGAGGGCTGTACAGAAGTCGCATCATCTCAGTTTCGCTCTCGAAGAGTAGGGTCATGGCTGCTTTGACCTCTGTCGCGTTGATATACTCTTGCGCACTCTCTGAAACAGCGGATGACGACTTCGCTTTCCGTGCCATGCGGGATTCTGTAGCGAGGAGCGACCCGTCGGCCTGCTGTATATCCTCCATTTCGATGCCCTCGTCCTCGCTCGAGTTGGGATCCAGGTCCGCGACTCCCTCATCCGCGTGTACATGTTGCTTTTTCGCCTTCGCATCTCTGCGAGCCAGGATGTCCAGAGGGTTTTGGAAGGACATCTCTTTTGCAGCCATCTTGGCCTTGTCCTTTTCGCTCAGAGGCTTACGGAAAATCTTGATGCCACGGTCCTTTCGGTACGTTGGGCTGATGCCCGTGCAACTGCCGCAGGCCTTCCGCTTGGTCAGATCGGCATAGAAGTCCTTGATGACTTGTCGCCGCGCATCGGAGATGGTCTCGTTCTTGTCGCGGACAGCACGCGCATCGTGCTTTGTGATGCCTGCCCTCTTCATGCAGCGCTTTACGTAGTTGTTGCGCTGGGTGATGATGTCGGCATTGTCGTCATCATCGTCATCTTCGGAATTACCGGCGTCTTCTGTCGTCTTGCCCTTCTCCATGCTGATGTGCTCGTGCATTTCGTTTGCTTCCTTTACTAGTCCACATCTTATCAACCGCAGCTTGGAGACGAATTCGCTGACTTGGACACGGGGGAGCTTGAGCTGGTGGCAATATGCGCACTTGCCCCGGAGCAGTCGCAGCAGCTGGTCCATGAACGTGAGGTGGTATACGGGTACGGGGAGCTCGATGTGGCCGCAGTGGCCGGGGCAGCCTTGGAAGCTGGTGAGACCGCATGTTCCGCATCTTGAAGTTTGTTAGCGGAGTGAATGAGCTTGTAGAAACGCGATGAAGCTCACGCATTGTCCAAGAAAGCGCCCAGGGCAGCGTCGTGCAGACCGCCAGGTACCGGGTGCAGCAGCGTATCGAAGGTGGTCGGGTTCGTGATGCGCTTCACCGAGAGCGACTTGATATCGCTTGTAGTCAAGAAGCCAAACTCGACGCCATTTATGGCCGAGGAAGTCGGCTGGTGGGTGTTCATGGCGGCGCCAGCTTGTCTTTTGCGCCTATTGTCTGAAGAAATCGCGCGCAAAGGCGTTTAGTGAATGTTCGCAACAGCGCGAGCCTTGCGGGGAGTTTTTTTCGGGACCAGAGAAGTTCGGCCAGGGTTTAGCCGGCAGTGCCAAGGCGCTTGTCGAGGCGGCAGCGCGGATTTCGCGTCACTCTGCAGCGACTGGCTTTCATCATCCACCACACCCCACCCGCCAGTTTTGGGAGACGCTCGCCGGCTACATCCTACGCGCATCACGTGTAGTGAATTGCGTTGATTTTCTACAGCGCTCTAGCGACGACATTGCGCGAATCCAACCGAACTTCACACCCGATCCTCCGCATACGCCAATCACACGACCGTCACTCCTTTATCCACACATCCACCATGACCATGGCAGAGAAGCGCCCCTACCCCGACGGCCAGGGCCCGAATGGAGACGCTAAGCGCGCAAAGGCTTCTGATGCCATCGAAGCCGCGAGGGCGAAAGCCAAGGCAAAAGCCGCTGAGATCGCAGCCCGTTTCGCGAAGCAGCCCGCCGCTGCAGCTCCTGCACCGGCGTCGGCTGGCGCTAGCGAATCAGTCCAGGACAAGCTGGCTGCCATGAAGGCACGGATGGAAGCGCTCAAGGCCGGCTCAGGAATCGCGAAAGCGCCAACACCAGACTCCACTGGCCCTCGCTTTGCGACAACACTGGGCAATCGCCGCTCAGAGACACCCAAAGTCGACCCCAAGGCCAAGCCCGCTGCCTCGAAGCAGAAGCAACAACAAGAGGAGGAGCTGGAGAATCCATACTTTGACCCCAAGGCTGCTGCCCTTGCCAAGAAGAGAGGCCCTCGTGTCCTGGCTTTCAATGAGCATGGAAAGTACCTCGACCAGGCCTCCAAGCTGCGCGCGCAACGCCGCCTAGAAGAGATCAAGAAGACGCTCGCCATCCAAGCACGCCGCGCTGGTCTGGACGAGAATAGCGAGCGCGGATTCCTGGTTCAGGCACCTCCGGACATCGAGTGGTGGGACGAGGGTATTCTGGCCGAGCCTACCTACGAGTGCTTGGACGACCCAACCAAGGTCAAGGTTGAGACTGACGATTCCATCATCACTCTCTACGTCCAACATCCTCCCCTCCTGAAAGCGCCCCAGGATCAGCGTCTAGTCCAGGTGAAGCCCATGTATCTCACCACCAAGGAGACACAGAAGCTACGCAGAATGCGCCGTGCGGCCGACCTCAAGGAGCACCAAGCGAAGATTCGTCTCGGTCTGGAGCCGCCTCCGCCACCAAAGGTCAAGCGCGGAAACATGATGCGTGTCATGGGTGAGCAAGCTATCGCAGATCCTACTGCTGTAGAGATGCTCGTCGAGGGACAGATTCAACAGCGTCACGACGATCACATCACTGCAAACGAAGACCGGAAGTTGACCAAGGAAGAGCGAGCGGCCAAGCTTGCAGCTAATCAGGAGAAAGACGCGCAGAAGGGTCTGTACATGTGCGTCTTCAAGATCAACACACTCGCCTACGGCAAACATCGTTTCCAGATCGACAACAACGCGAAAGAACACGCGCTCACCGGTATCACCCTATTCAACCCCGATCTCAACCTGGTCGTTGTCGAAGGCGGCGCATATGCAATCAACAAGTACAAGAAGCTCATGCTCCACCGCATCAAGTGGCATGAGAACGGACCACCAACAGAGAACCAGGCCGAGAAGCAAGCATCGGACCCAAAGTGGCTGAGGCCAGTGACCGATACCGGAGACGTCAAGGACCATTCATCCAACAAGTGCATTCTCATCTTCGAAGGTGAGATCAAGGAACGCTCCTTCCGCAAGTGGGGTTCAAGAGTCTGCGAAACCGCTGGCGAAGCTCGTGAGACACTTGGAAGGGCCAAGCTTGACAGTCTGTGGGCGCTCGCCAAGAGCATGGAGTGAGCGCGTCTTTCATCGCGACTTGACTATCTAGGATTACACTGCATCTTTGGCGACCTGGGCCGACATCATTTCGGACACATACCATTCAGGGCGCTCACTTGGAAAAGCGAATCTGGGAGGACTTCTCTTCATGCTCAATGTAAGTTTACTCATAACTCCATAGTTTGGAATCTACGTATTAATGCACCTTCTCTTGTTCCAGCCGCGCAATCGTGATGTTGCATATAGTCTGTATCCGCCCATTCCATGCTAGCCGAGCTACTACATAGCCTCTTGGCGATGCTCTTTCTACTGAGCCTCTAGAAACCTACATGGGTTTGGTAAGTGTAATAGCGTGCGACCTACATGTGATGTACTCGGCAGAAGTCGAGATAGCTATGAGCGTAGGTGTTTTCCTGGTACTCCGTCTTCTTCAAATCACATTACGAGCGTGTCTTCTGTTCTCTCCACTTCAGTTGTATGCAGCAACGTGCCTCTTGAAGTTTTTTGTGAGCTGGATATCATGATTGTATGCTCCATGCCCTACTTCCACCTGCCTCGCTGAGTGGCATACCGATCGTAGTTGCAACGGTAGGCTGGGGTGCATTGGCCAGATTGGGTGCCGCGGAGGCCTCCACGCTACCTCATGACGTGTCATACGTCAGTATTGGACATTGAGGTAGGTGCCTCGGTGGAAGGCATGCACGCGTTTGATACATTCTCAAGCAAAATAATAATCCACCGTGGAGGCTACATTGGTTTACTTTCTTTCAGCGATGAACCAGTTAGTGAAGCGTGTCTGTCTTCAAGGTGTCTTGGAATTTCCTGTGTGAAGTGGAAGTGATGTGAAGGGTACATCTTTCCGCTGCTAAGAGAAGGGAGGAGCTGGACACTAGCGCGCCTACTAGCGGTAAACAATCGGAGGGGTATATGATGGCTGGGTGGCTTCGTCTTCAATTCTGCAGTATCATCATCGCTAATATGTACTACTATCGCTTTCGGTCATTTATTAACTAGTATTTTTTCGATGACCAGCCTTGGGTGTGGCTCATTGAGAGTGTTAGTTTTCCTCTATCTTCCTTTCACCCAAGCTTTGAAGATGGTTTGCTAATTACCTTTCTCATTCAGGGGCTCTGCTGTGTGTTTGCGCTGGTGAAAGCGATCCTTAAAGGGGACTCGTGGCGGGACCTCATACCTGCTGACAGAAACCTCGGCGCCCTGTTGGGCCTGATCGGCGACGTCGTGATCTTGCGCGCCATTGCGAAGGTGGCCCAGCAATACGGGGCGTCACGAACGGCGGAGTCAGTGGGGAGAGGCCACACGAACGAACCTCGGGGAGAGGTCTAAGGATGCCATATGATCGACCGCGTTGCCGTTATGATACGTTATGATACGCCGGTCGTGCCCTTACGATTCCGACCTCTCCTCGCCCCTTCACCAGTTGCCGCAGCAGAGCACGCCACACCCATGAGAAAAAATACAAAAAAAATTTAAAAAACCAAAAAAAAACCGAAACCCCAAAAACGTTCCACGTTACGACGCTTCCCGCCTTGCCGTCGAGGCTTCTCACCAAGAAGAACCGCCTATTTGTAAGCCTTCACAACCTCTAACATCAGCTCAATTTCTAACATGATGCACAGCTTGTTCAAACTACAGAACAATTCCTCATCATATCGGCACCGGTTCATTCAACCATGGTACAACCAACTCGGTACACATCCACCGACCAGCCCTCCTTGCGTCCATATAACAAGCATGCGGCTTGTACCTCAACATCATATTCACACGCCGAATTCTTGCCTCGGTCGCAGCTATGACAAGCTTGTGGGATGATTTCACCTCCTGGTGCGAGTTCGTTCGGCGGGACTTGAGCAACGCGCCAAACTGGCACATCGTACTGCTCCTTTGCGCACCACCCGGACTATTGGTGTACACCGCAATAGCTCTCAGGAACAATTACCCAGGCACGTATGCAGTCTGCTACTGGAATGCTCCAGGCGAGATGCGAACATCGTATCCTGAGTGCCCGTTCAACCGACACGTCTTCGAAACACCTACGCATCGCGGCTGGCCAGCCTTCTACATCTTTGTCGGCGCCACGCTCCTATACAGTCTCATCGCCTACCGTAACAGACTCCGATGTCTGCTGCAAGGCACATTCTGGCTCCACTTCCTCATCACCACCGTCATCCGGGTCCTGTCTATCTTCTCCGGCTGGAGCACCCAACCCAACTGGTCAAGCTTGGTCTGGAACTCCAACTCCGTCGGCAAGATCTTCTGGCTATGGCTTCTAGTCGAAAGCAGATATTGGAGCTGGAGCTACCTCGGTTTCTACGACGATTACTACTTCCGCGAAGAGACCCGTACCGTGCACAACCGAGGCGCCGACCCAGTATGGACCTTCACTTCTGAAAAGACGGACGACCCAACCGACATGCTCTACTTCCTCTACAGCCTCATCTTCCGGCCATGGCGCGATATTGCAGTTCGCTTGTCGTACATCCACCTCGTTGACAACGCAATCCACGTCATCTGGTTCCGATACTTCCACGTCGACGCTCCCTACACTGCTTACATCAACAACTCGGAGATCTTGACCATCCTCCTCTTCGTCACTCTGGCTGTATACACTTACGCACGCATGCGGACGCACGTGTACTTTGACGACAACGCTACCGGTCCGCTTGTCGATATCAAAAGCACAGTCCCGCTGCCCATTCGATCGGCTTCGCGCGATCTGTTTACCTTTGCTTCGACGCATCATGTTTTTCGTACGTGCTCTGAGAGGCGTCAGGCGTTCATGATTGCTGTGTGTTTAATGACGACTGGGGCGCTGGCGACTTGGGAGTTGCATTTGGGGTTCAAGATCTTGTGGGCGCTTTGCTTTAACGCTACTTTGTTGATACTCGCAGCGGAGTTGGAAATCATGAGAAAGACGGGTAGGAGGGAGTTGCTGAGGGAGATTGATCGTATGTGAGGCCTGGCCTGGGAGAGGGTTGTGAAGAACATGGGGGGGTGGGGTGGGATCACACTGTGGATGTGACTGAGTGGGTAATGCTGGTTGGTACATCGGGTGGTAGAATATC